ACACACGCACGCACGCACGCACACACACACACACACACACACACACACACACACATACATACATACATACATACATACATACATACATACATACATACATACATACATACATACATACATACATACATACATACATACATACATACATACATACATACATACATACATACATACATACATACATACATACATACATACATATACATACAACATACATACATACACATACATACAATACATACTAGTACATACATACATACATACAACATACATACATACATTACTACATACATAATCATAGCATACATAATACATACATAATACATACATACATACATACTCATACATACTACATAACATACATCTACATACATTACATAATACAACATACATACATCAATCATACATACATACATACATTACATAATAATATATATATGGCGGGTGCGTGGTGCGTTGCCGTGCGTGCGGCTGCGTGCGTGGCGTGCGCGTGCGTCGTGCGTGTGCGCGTGCGTGCGTGCGTGCGTTGCGTGCGTGGTGCGTGCGTTGCGTGGCGTGCGTGTGTGTGTGTGTGTGTGTGTGTGTGTTGTGTGTGTGATGTGTGGTGTGAATGTGTGTTTGCGTGCGGGCGTGCGATGCGAGCGTGGATATATATATGGTGTTTGGTGAGCTGTTCGTGTTGCGTGTGCGCTGTGTTGTATGGTGTTTCGTGTGCGCGCGTGCAGTGCGCGTTCGTGTGCGCGTACGTGTGTGTGTTCGTGCGTGGTCCCGATCGCAAGCTCCAGAGTTGAACTGTTTCCGTCTTGCAGGTCGCGCGAACCTGATTTGTACACGTGCACGAACATCATAGGCATCATGGCTTACGCGATGGCGACGAAGAAAGCAGCGCCGTGCTTCAGCGAGACGAAGCAATCGCTGGAAGCTCAGGATGAAGCAGGTCGAGCAGCGAAAGCACGTACGTGATCGGCCTATGCTATTATGTGTCACGTGGTGGGTGGGGGCCCGGGGGCGTCGTCGCAACCAGTGCGGGTTCTTACGGACGATGGGTTCGTTGCAGTGTGTGTGTGTGTGTGTGTGTGTGGTGTGTGCTGTGTTTCATTTTTCATTACATACGCACACGCACGCACGCCACGCACGCACAAAACAACACACGGCACGCACGCACGCGCGTACGCGCACACGCACACACGACCCCCCTGACACCACACAACACACACCACACACACACACACCACCACCACACACAACACACACAACACACACACACACACACACAATATATATTATATAGCTTATATATATACATTATAACGCACGCGCGCGCGCGACGCACGCACGCACGCACGTACGCGCACGCGCACCGCACACACGTAGCACCAGCCCACACACACACACACACATACACACGCACACACACACACCCACCACGCACACAAACACACACACAACACAATATATATATATATATATATATATACTAACTATATATATGCCGGCGACGCGCGCGGCTGCACGCACGGCACGTTACGACGCACGCGCACACGCACACACGTACACACCCACTACCACACACAACACACAACATACACACACACACACACACACACACACACACACACACACAACACACAAAACACACACACACACACACACACTTATTCGCTTATATAGGGAGGGCAGTTTAATAAGGCGTCGATACAGCTAGATCGTCTGCCTATATATTAAAATAAATAACCGAGTAATGCGTTAGTATTTAGTTAGTTTTTAAGTTTTTGTATGTTAGTCCTTAGCCCTCCTATGTAGCTTCCTATCTCCGTTTAGGAACGATTGCTGTTGTCGGTACTGCCACGCCACGTAGCGGCAGCTGTGCTGGAAGACTTTGGTGCGATGGTAGATGGGCAGTTCAAGAAAATCTACATCACTCGCTACGAGAATGTAAGGTACGTGCGTAAAGTTACCTGGTTTGTCAATAACTACACTGCGATTACTACGTGATCGCATCAGAGAAAATCCACGGGTAGTTGAAATCTCGTGGGTCGTCAATAGAATGTGTTTCCCGAGGATATGATGGAAATGGCTGACATTAACTAACTGTGTTTAGCGATTGAGCATCCACTCTCGTTAATGTGAGCAAATTTCGAGGAAGAAATATTCTTTAAATACGAGTCTTAAGAAAATTATCCACAAGTGTAGTATTTTAGAACTAGGGTAAAAGTAGGTAGGTTAGTTTTGTTTTATCATTTATTCAATATATTCGATGCAAATCTACACTTATTAGGGCTATGCTTTCTTTAGCATCTAGATGAGCACCTATTCCCTTGCCTCCTCCACCTGCGGATTACGGCTCTAGCATAATCTATAATAAGATCAAGACACTTATCATGACAGTAAACGCAAAGCAGCTGCTATTATTATGCCTATAGCGATAAGACATCCCACTGGAGTAACACAAAACACAATCGCAGTGCCAACTACAGTAAACACACCCGCATAAAGAACTGCGGCACTTAAGAACCTCCAGCTGAAATTGGCATTAAATAACGACATCTAGTATTTAAGAACCATTCAGCCGATAAATTAAGCAGGTTTTTATGAAAAAAAAACCGAAACTTAAAGCTGGTTGATGTTACTGTAATCGCAGTTATGCTGACAATGAATTATCTGTATGTCCTGAACTGTTCTATTAGTCAAATCAATTTTCACAGCATTTTGACACGTTTTATTTGTGTTTAATATATAAAGTAAATTAAAGGTTGATAAATAAATTAATCAAATGATTTAAACAGACCTATAATTTCTATATTATTGCAGTTGGTTAATATTAATTTAGTGTCAATTATTCACTAATAAAGCCAATTTTCCTAGATAACGCCCACACAATATCCCGCAATAATTAAAGAACCTATTAAGAACCTCTTCAGGGCCTGTATTCTATCAGATGCTGATCATATATATAAGAACCACTTTCAGCCTTGAACAGAATCACGGGTTCTTTTAGGCGGAGTGTGTTACTGTATCACACAACTTGTGATCCACACGTTGTGTCGCACTGCTTTTGTCTCTATTCCTATATTCGTAGCAGGTGCCCGTGTTTTGTTGACCAATAATGTGATTCACATACAAGCGAGCGAGCCGATGTGTGGGCGTAATCAATAACAACTAATAACGACCTTTCAGGTAAATGGCAAGCTACTTGATCACAGCCTTCAAACACACACACCACGCGCGCCACACACACACACACATCAACACCACCACACACACAACTACCACACACACACACACCACGCACGCACGCACGGCACGCAGACGCACGCACCGCACGCCACACACACACACACACACACAACACACACACACACACCACACACGACACACACACACACACATATATATATATATGTAAGCGTACGTGTTGTTGTGTATGCGTGATGTGTCGCGTGCGTGTGCGTTCAACCCGCCTGTGTGTGTATGTGTGGTGGGGAGTAAACGCTAATAAATAGAGATCATAGGGGCTGAGCCCCTATTCCACAACAACCGACAAGGCGTATATTACAACTTTATTTTCATCTGGCCGCTGGTACGAATGTAGCGCGGCTTAGCGCAATTTGTTTGTGCCGGCGTTCGTGCTTATACTGACATTCTTGCCGGTTAAATTCTCAGTGTCTTGGGAGGATAAATTATAAACTCTTATTGCTGTGGTACTATCCACTCACGCACGCTCACAGACGAACTGCACGCACGCACGTCGCGGTGTAATTTACGCGCGTCGCACGCAATAAGCGGCGAAATACATCGCCACTAAAGCGCGAAATCATGGAAATATCATATACGGTGGTCCCTCTGTCCACCAGACCCTCATTCACGGAATTCACCGTGTCACAGGGGCATCGCCAAAGTGAACGCCGAATTCCTGATTGGCATAGTATAGCTTGCGTTCAGTAGAGCATGTGTGCATTCGGAACGTAGGCCAGTTTGTTGCAGTCTGATGGCGACGTATATTTGAATGTTGAGGAAGATATTATCAGGAGTGTGCGAATATACAGTATATATATATATATATCATATATAGTATATATTATATATACTTATACACACATGATATTATTCCAGGCAGCGCTCGCACTTCTGCACTGCGACCAATTATTAGGTCCACGCAGATAAGGACGCAAGGAGCGGTTTCGTCACTAGCGCCAGCTGCTAGAACTCCCGGAGCCAGGAGCTGACGCGACACGCGAAGTGACGTCATAATGGCTTCATCGACCAAGTATCCATTTGATCCCTGCTCTCTTTGTCACTTTAACATCTTGATCCTTAACCTTTTAACTCTGTGGCCGCTCCGGCCGATGTGCGGTTTTGCGAATTAATCATAAACCCGTGACTTTTTACCCGCCGGAAAGACACCTTGTGAAGCTCGCCTTTAAGCGAGCCACGACAATCATGCTTATCCAGCCTATCGCGTTGCACTAGATGCCTTGAGTTACGCATGTAATTGACGACCATAGATTATTGCCTCTTCAAACGTAATACTTGCTGAGAGGTTTCTATTGCATGAGACAGATTTAGGCAGTTGACCAATTTATTTTAATTTTTTATACTTTAGGAGTAGGTGCTGAGAGGTTTCTAACTACATAAGACAAGATTTAGCAGTTGATCAATTTATTTTAATTTTCATACTTTAGGAGTACGTGCTGAGAGGTTTCATAAAACTGCCCATAGAGACAACAAATTTAGGCAGACTGATACCAAATTTATTTTTTATTATTCAAATTACTTTAGGAGTACGTTGTACTCCATGAAGTAAGTAGGGCCCCCTACGTTTACCATTTAAACATATCTGTGTAAGTCGGACGTAACAGCTCTAACGTCTATTGGCTTTTATCCTGTTGATTCTGTTTCATAAGATAATTTTTGTATATGTTTTAATATGGCATGATAACCATGCATGTGCAAACCTCTCTAGATCCCGTGGTCATTTGGACTCCCTTCACAATCCGAAGATAGAATCGCAATCCAATGATTGATAGGACCTGCAAACCCATGTTGTGGTGTTGTTACACCCATCTCAGTAGGCATCGAAATAGCTTGGTCTCATTAATGTAGTCCTTTAAATTTCCTGATATGTAAAATTCAATAGACAACTATCAATTAACTTTTAGTCATTCCCGTCTGTTTAGGACGGTCCTCAAATAATAGTAACTCTCATTTAGTAACAGTATCCATTACGAAAATGCATCTCCTGCTTGTTCTAGTCCTCCGTTATTTGCTGGCTATGCGGCGCTTCGAGGTCGTCCTCGTCCTGCCTTGCGCTGAGTTTTCATTATATTCTCATAGAGCCTTTCAAGCGTACAGTTCACGCCATTATAGACCCTATATGTTCTACATAATTCACCGCAGATACGGTTTTACGGCAAATGCCGGGTTTTACTTCCCTCGCAGCACAGGTTAACTCGGTACCCGCCGCCGGTTTTAAGAGCTTTGATAGTAAAGGAATCATGTTTCTCAAGATAGAGCCAAATATTTCACAACCTCGCTGATATTAGAATAAGATATTTCCACGCCTACCTGCAGGCGACTGTAATGTTTCCAATATAGTAGCCTTTTTTAGTATGCTGTTCCCGTATAGGCATCATGGGTTTGATTGACTTCGCACCATATGTATTTGCGGGTCGTCTCTTGTTGAGTGATGAGCCGTACTCAGGTAAACACATGTTGGGGATAACTAATGTTGGGGATTTAAAAAGGTCCCAGGTTTAATGCCAGAAAAGCACCATCAGGGGGCGCCAGCTGAGGGCATCGTCAGGGCATGGGGTTTTAAGAATGGATAAAGCTTTATCTACAACAGTGAGTGCAAAATCAACGAATCGGCCCTACGTTCCCGCAGTGTATGTATATGGGAAAGTTGTGCATTCCTACATCGTTGCTATTATCGGTAAATACATCAGCACTCACGAAGTGCCACCTATATATCTCGTCGTTGCAGGTCCCCAGGTCGCGCCTAGTTTCTCTATTGTCGGCTAACACGGCGAGACCTACGTGCATGATGAGATCGTGTACGTGGTGATTGAATGATGGATGCATGACTCATCACATGCGTGCCGCCGCCACGCAGAGTCGCACGCGTGTATTATGTAGCGTTTACTTTACATTGTTACCTTTACCTTTACTACATTATAGGTATACATACGCGGCACGAAAGCACCTCTGTGTTTGTGCGCGTGCGAGCGTGCGTGTCTGCGTGCCTGCATGCGTGCGTGCGCGTGCGTACGTGTGTGTTTCTAATTGTGAGTGTATGCACGCACATACGCATTTACAATGAGAGCGCATACACGCATGTTATGTAGGTATATATGTATACATAATTTTATTCACAATTCTTTCAAGCCAGGCACACACAAAATATACGTTTCCCATAGAAAGAAACACAGCGCCGTTAATGACATTGCAGGCATGGCCACATGAGTGTTACATTTACATTATTATAATATAGACATAAATGACGTCTTGCTTCCCAAGGCATAGATAGAGCGCGGGCGAAATGCGCATGCGTAGTGTGATATTGTCACAACGAGATGGCGGCGGTGAGAGTTACAATACAAATAAATAGGGATACAAATAAATACACTCTTACGTATTTCAACTCGACATTTCTAATTTCATCCGAAAGAAAATACGACAAATTCGGCTGGTATAAAAAGTAGAACTCGACCCGTTCGTGCGACTAGCAAAACTTAACATACTCCTATAGGAGCGCATTAACCCGTATATTTATCTTCTCTCTCTCTTTCTCGTCCTCTAGCATCCTGTTTGCAGACATCGTTGGATTCACGGCCCTCAGCTCGACCTGCACGGCAGCTGAACTCGTAAAGATCCTTAACGAACTGTTCGCTCGCTTCGACAAACTCGCAGATGTGAGTAGCTTCACGATACGGGTCCGTCAGTGCGTCGTGGTTCGTCACCACTACGAACTCTCGAACCTTTTCAAGTCGAATCGTCTAACCTTGACGTGAAACGCGAGGTTGGCGCTTAAACTATTTAAGAAAGTGCATGTGAAATTTACGCGGTGAAATTGAAGATAATTCATGAATTACGGTTCAGGTAACGCAATCTTGTCCGCCGTACTGAAGTAAATTCATTTGGTGATTTTGGCTCGTTCACCATTTTTTTGCTGCTAAACATTTTCGCAATAATATGGTGAGACATTCGTACACAATAGACTAGGCCTATGTCGTCACGCGCGTGACAATTCGCTGGAAATATCAGACGCAGAATGTATACGTCTAATATAGAAATTGTGGGATGTAATAAGGATTAATGTGCGCACGAGGAGAAAAAATAGAAATATAGACGAGAACCATTGGCGAACTCAGTGGGAGCTCTTGAATAGAAGTACGTCATCCGTTAACAAATACGGCGCCATTGAAAGCACTACCGCTCTGGCATTGGAAAGTTGGCATGCAGTAACAGTAGGAGAGGAACAGGCAGGTGCGGCACTTATCAGGGGATAGATGTAGTCAGGAGTAGATAATAGGAATAATTCCCTATTATCTACTCCTGATGTAGTATATCTCAAGAGAGGTGGTGGCTTGCGTACAGTCAAACGTTCTTGGTGGAGAGTGGCCGCCATAATGGATATAATCAATAAGCCATATAAAGTAACCGTTGGTGGTCGTGAGGACGAGATAGTTTACAGCTGGGCTCTAATTGAGAATGTGAAAAACGTTGAATTGAGAATGTGAAAAACGTTTCAATTTTTCAAAATAACTCGTATGGTGGACTAGTGCAGTAACATGACACGCGTAGCACGTGCACATGTACAGGCAAACGTAAAATCTCAAAATAGAAAAATCTTGCTTAGAATACATATGGTTACGACTGCCTTCATTAAAAGAAACTCGGGTGGTTGAAAGATCTTCCCTTCACTCCCCCTTCTCTCATCGCCTATACCATCTTTCTCGTGCCCTATATCTCTTCCATGTAACTCCCACTGTTCTTTCCAAATACCCTCCCCCTAAACGCCCCCCACTCTCCTAACTCATCCCCTGCTCCCTCGTAGATCTGCTACGGGAAGCGTACAAACGTATTGGTAATCACAAAGCTGTGGAAAATCGCTGATATAAGTAAAGCTCGTGTTTCACAGGTTTTCTGCGTCACTGCGCGACAAGTATTTCATCTTTATCGTTTTATTGCGCAGCGATATCATCAGCTACGGATTAAGATCTTAGGCGATTGCTACTACTGCATCAGCGGCGCTCCTGTACCCCGCACCGACCATGCCGTGCTGTGCGTGCACATGGGCCTCTCAATGGTCAACGCCATCAGGTGAGAGCAACACACGTGCGGGAAATAAAAGGGGGGGGAAGGAAGACGCGAGAGATGAAGGGAGAGAGTAGGTGTGTTTGTGTGTGTGTGAGAGAGAGAGAGAGAGAGAATGCGCTTGCAAGGGATACAGAAAGCGAGAGAAATTGAGAGATGGAGCATGCAAGAGAGATACAATGAGATCGAGGGAGACAACGAGGAAGAGAGAACGAAAGCGAGAGGTGTGTGCGTGCGTGCGTGTGTGAAATAGAGACAGAGCGAGAGAGGGAGAAAGCGAGAGGTGTGTGCGTGCGTGCGTGTGTGAAAATGAGACGGAGCGAGAGAAGGAGAACGCCAGTGGGAGACAGAGTGAGTGAGACAGAGAGGAAGCGAGAAAAATCATATTAGAGCGAAAGGGTTAGCGTGGGGGGAGGGCTGAAGGGAAGGTGGGGTGGGTGGTCGTGGAGATCGGACGACGGTACATAGAGACAAACGTGGTTCCCGCCGAAATAATTAAATAGGCAACATCGAGGAGAGAATTAATTGATCGAGAAATGTGAAAATTATAAAACGGTCTGAAGATTAAAGAGAAAAATGTTATAAGGAGAAAGGTTATAATTTAAATAATCAAGTTCAAGCCAAAGAAAATCCTGCATGTAAGAACAACGGAATTCCTCTAATTATCCAAAATAATACAACGTTATTAAAATAATCATGTAATCATGCAAGACATCTTCAACATGCTGCGATTAATCGAGCCGTGTAACTGTTCGTTGATATGTTGTCGTGAACAGTACATACATGTACATAGTTTGTACATGCGCAGGTAACCTACAGCCTACGCATCGCGTGTCACCGCGCACATGACGGTTATTGCACCATAAACCGCGGGGTGGCGCTTGTAAGCCATTAGTTAAAAGCCCTGGGGTCCCAGGGATTGATCCGCTTACGTGCGCGATTTTCGCCATCGATTGGTGCTGCCTGGAATAGGTAATAATAACATGCGCCATGACGCAAGCTTCTATTCTGATTACATGTCGTATCAACATATTCCCGAGCACGCGATTACGACAGCGTTACAGCTCAAGCATGGATGAACATACGGTCGTGCACGCGGTCGGTGGTTCATTATTAGCAGTAACCTAAAAAAACTCAAGTTAAATTAGGTGCGAATCTAAAAATTAAGATAAATTATCTACGACGATTAGCAACTCGGTTGATTGTTTTGCTTGCACCCGGGTCCTCTCAGCGGCTTCAAGTCAAACGCGAATTCTGCCTACCCGCAGAAATTTCCTTAACGAGGTAAATAATAACTTATCGATTACAGTGATTAGCCAACATTAGCAGACGCGCCTGTCTCTTAAAATCTCGGCTTTCGCACGCACACGCCTCATGCCATTCATCTGATCAATCCATGCGCGCCCGTTATTTCAGTGACCTCGAGCTTTCACGTATGCTCCGCAAACTATCGGATCGATGGCTAAGGACCGAATCAATTTAACGACGCGCAGATTTCAATTAATTAACGAAAAAACGCACGCAGGTACGTTCGTGAGAAGACAAAGACCGACGTCGATATGCGGGTAGGCATCCACACTGGAGCCGTACTCGCCGGTATACTCGGCCAGAAACAGTGGCAGTACGACGTATACAGCAAAGATGTGATATTCGCCAATAAGATGGAGAGCGGAGGCATCGGAGGGTAACTACATGCCAACAAGTGCTATACCTGCTATACATTGTTTACAATGTCTATGTTATATGTCTGCGCGGTAAAAATATGTTAATATGTTAATAGTAGAAATAGAAACCATTATGATGATAATAATAATGATGATGCTGATGATGATGATGCTGATGATGATGATGCTGATGATGATGATGATAATGATGATGGTGATGATGATGATGATGATGATGATGATGATGAAGATGACGACGATGATGATTATGATGATGATTATGATGATATGATGCGATGATGATTATGCTGGCGGTACCGCGTAGGTACTGGTAGGCGCTAAATTAGCCAATAGTAGCACGAAATAGCGAAACTACAATCTGATTAATCGAGTTCGTCGAACATTAGCTCTGTTTGTTGGGCTGCCTGAAGTTGATTAATCGAGTATGAAAATCGAACGACCGTAGTACAAACTCGCAACTTTTTTTTTATAACTTTTTTTACCAGAAATGTTACCAAAACCAGTCTGTAAGTACATACGCGTATGACCACAGTACCACTTCGTGGTACATAAGACTTTGTGAACATTAGTCTTGCTATTATAGCGGGCATCATCATAAATATCCGAAAGACCGATAAATCGCCTAGTGTGTCCGGCCCTTGTAGGAGCAATTCTCGCATGCGCAAATATTATTTTTATTGGTTTCGCCTCGTTTGTTGGCACTCACTTTGAGGTTTTTTTTTTCTGAGAAAAGCTAAGAAGCTTTGCTGGCGTATTTCCTCAAGCATTGTCAGAGAAGGTTTATCGTCATATTCACTGTAATGCAAGAAAGGCGTTTGTGTTGAAATATGTATGCGATTCGGTTGCAACCCGGTTTAAACTGCAAAGACGCAAGTAAGCGTGCGATGCAATTGACTCCGACACTTCAATTGAAAAACATGATAGCTTTTTGTGAAAATTGCCGCAGTAGTGACTCGTTGACCGCGACAGCGAACTGCGATCCAGATCTTAAAGCTTTGCCAAAAACATGATGCATAATCAACGAGACCGGCGCTAAATCAATGGGGCGTCAACGAATGTCAATGGAAGTCTGATTGCGTTTGGGCAAATCGCGAACCGGAGCGCGATGACGTGACGTCACAAGCATTCACACGGACATGGGAGCAATGTGAAGGAGAATCATCTGTATTGTAAAACAATCCCATCGCTATAAAGCGCATTACGTTTGGCGATCGTGTCCATCCACGATAAGAATAGATCCGCGCGCATGATTAGTTTTGGGATAATGGCGTACAACAGGCGATGCCATGCGAAACGCGCGGTACCGGTAAGAAGGAACAAGAAAACGGTGAAGGCCAAAGGTCTACACATATTACACACACGCGTGGTTTCCACTTTCGTGAGGGTGGTATTATGGCCAATAGAGAAGGTCCTAACGGGGTCTGTCAAGGGAGCGTGCGTATTCGTTTCCAAAGGACTCGTGTTCCCGAGAAAAATAATAGCTAATGGGTTTTGTTTTTTTAAAAGGTAGGGGGCACACGAGCGATTTTATCGCCGCGATCGCCGCCGAATTCTGAAATCGCTCTATGAAAATTCGGCCCGTGTTCCCGTTCACGTCGCACGCCGATTTTAATCGCCGATCGAATCGCGCCGTATCCAAAATGTTAGAATATTTTCGTGGCGATTATTTACAGGCCGGGCGTATATTATCGCTCGGGTGTGCACCGTCTGACGCGGCGTATTTTTGTCGCCCGATCGATCTTTTCTAAAAACGCAATCAGGACGTGTTGTTGACTATCATGTGATGTTAAATAATTGGCTGCCTCCAATACGTAGTAAGTGTGGACTCGCGAAAAGGAAGGGCGAATTGGTCATTTCTGTGGTCGCAAAAGGCCATGCCTTTGTGACATTACTGATGCGGCTGAATACCGGGATCGCGTGTTAGCGAAGGAGTCGCTATTCACAACAGAAATCAGCGCTCTGATACTCTGTTCCAATGAATGTTTCCCAGTTTTTTTACTAACAATTCGAGTAGACCCTCTACCTTTCCGGCGGCATTATCCAATCTCCTGACCACGAATTCGATTCGCCAACGAGTCTGCCTTCTGCCTGTATTTCTGTTTTCTTTTTGAGAAGCAAATAACACAGCACAACAACAGCCGACAACCTTTTTCGGGTCGGGTTCGTCAGCATTTTGTACGATCACATGATGATGGAAAATTCTGAGTCGAGTGGCGTACACGCGTATGCCCACAAAATCGCGATAACTGTGCGCCCTTCGTGATCGGAGCGATTAAATTCGCTAACTTGTGGCCACCTTCGTGATCGGGCGATTAAATTCCCTTGCGAGCCGAAAAACTTTTAATCGCCGCAGATCGGGCGATAAAAATCGCTCGTGTGCCCCTAGCATAAATTTAATAAGTTATCGCCTCGAAAATTAATGATAGGGTGTACCTTGGAAAATTGAAGAAAAAAATGTACTATATTCTTTTAATATTTTAAAATCAGATTACATTTTAAATATGGAAACGGCCCAGATTTATTAAAAAAACGGGTAGAAATTATTCGAAATCTTCATGCAGATATCCCCCGTATCTTCAGACTGTTTACATTATAAGGCGTGTGTGCCGAGCATGAACCATTTCACTTATGTACATGTGTTTGGTGTGAGAGATTACACGACTTCACATGTAAAAGATACAACAACGGGATCGAAACGTTGCGGTAACGAGTAATTGGAGTCGCAGGATAGCTTCTGCTAAGGAAATTGTGACTGCCTGTTGGTTAGCTAAACAATATACGCAGTATACACATTTAAACGTGACATATGACTAGATACGAGTGATTGACGTACACGACAACACTATACCCCCAGGAATTACACAAAATGTGTGCGCGTACTCGCGCGTAAGTATTAGTGTATGTTGGTGTGTGTGTGTGTGTGTGTGTGTGTGTGTGTGTGTAGTAAGCTGTGTGTGTGTGCTTTATACGTGTGTGATGTCAGGTGGTTGTGTGTGTGTGTGTGTAGTGTGTGTGGTGGTGTGTGCGCGCGTACTGTTGTGTCGGCGTCGTCGTGTGTGTCGTTGTGCGTGCGTGCCGTGCGCGCCGCGTGCGCTGTGTCGTGTGTGCTGTGTGCGCGCGCCGCGTGGGCGTGTGTTATTATAAATTACGCCCATTAATTAATTAAAATGTAACCAATTCTCCTATATTAGTAGCCGAAATTCCGCCTTTCGGTTATCTTCCGCTTTACGCCTAACCCTGAAGGGTTAATTGTGACACATTCACAAAGTTACGAACTACTTTCAAGAATATGATGTTACCGGTTGGTGTCTATAGAAGAGACTAACAGCGTAGGTATTTTATTCGCGCACAATTGCGATTATTTTATTTCCGCTTATTTGTCCAAGGTAACGCCCGCCATTCTTCTGTTAGGGAGTTTTTTAAACGGACGCCCGAATATTATATACATTGAAGAAATTGTTCGATTTCTTCCTACTTGGCCCCCTTGTTTTTTCAGTATCGCCGGGGCGCTAGAAACGTAGGCATAAATATGATACATAAGAAAGATAATCCGAAAGGCTCCGAAGAACAGGAACAGCACTCGACAAGAAATGCGAGCGTAAGAGGATGTTAGAACACGAAAGCGGACTTAAACGCAGGCTAGCTTTACGGAGAGTTGATGGAAACCGATATTCAGCGTGAGTATAAATATAATCAGGAATTCATGTGTTGCTCCGCTGTATGATCAAATTGCACAGTCATTACTCGTCAACACACATACACACAGGCCACACAGCACACACACACCGTACACATCACACACACACAGCGCACACGCGCGCACACACAGCGAGCACAGCCCACACACACACACACACCACACGCACCACGCACATGGCGGTCGCACATACGCCACAACGCACACACACACACACACACAACACACAACACACACTACATACATACACACAGCGCGTGCGCGTGCGCACGGTACACACACCACACATACACACACTCACACACGCACATCCGGCGCCGCGCGGCACTGCTCAACGCGCGCACGCAAGGACGTGCACGTACACAGCAGCACACACAGAGCGAGCACGGATTACACACACACATACACACACAACTACACGTACATCATACATACATCAATGCATGCATCATGCATGCACGCACGGAGCATGTTGAAGCACGCAACGCACGCACGCACGCACCGCGACGGGTCACGTCGTACGGCAGCACGCACGCACTCGCCAGCGCAACCACCGCACCTGGACACACACATCACGCATCTAGTAGAATACATTACTATACATACCATAACATAGCATAAACATCATCATGGCATGGCTACATGCCATGCACATGCATGCATGCATACATACATACATACCATACATACATACAACATAGCATACATACATAGCATACATATCTATTGGCTCACATACAGTACATACATACATGCATACATACGTACGCCTTACGATACGTAGCCTTTACGTATGTGAGCGTACGGTCACTTACGCACGTACGTACATACATACGATACAACCATATCAAAATACATACATACATACATACATACATTACATACATACATACAACATACTGATCCTACATACATACACTACATACATACATACATATCATACACTACATACATACATACATACATACATCCATACATAAATACATTACATACATACAACATCCATACATACCATACATACATACCATACATCCGGCAGATGGCACACGTACATGGAATAGATAGATATATAAAAAGAAATAGATGGATCTGGATGGACGGATCGGACCGGACGGACGGCGATGGATGGCGACGGACGCGGACGGAGGACGGACGGACGGACGGACGGGACGGACGGACGGACAGACAGACAGAGCAGATCGGGAGATAGTAGATCAGATAGAGTATATACGATAGATAGATAGATAGATAGGATAAGAGTAGATAGATAGATAGGATTAGATACGATGAGATAGGCGAGAT